TCCTTTTCGGGGGCCGGGGGGGGGGGGGGGGGGGGGAGGGGCAGAGTAATTGAGACCCGCTTTTCACTTGCAGCCCATCATTCCTTCCAACTTTCTAAAGTTTTAGGCTGCTGACCTATGTGAAAAGCAGCTGATCCAGTGTGATGCCGTTTGAGGACAGTGAGTGAAGAGGTACCTGACCCAGGTGAGGAGTGTCCCCACCATCTCATGGTCAGAGGTGGTCAGTGCCTAGTTCTTACTTGGAACACAGCAGTGAAGAGTGGTTGCCAAAAGAAAAAAAAAAGATTCAGTGTTAAATACACTGAGTTTGGGCTTCCCTGGTGGCGCAGTGTTTAAGAATCCACCTGCCAATGCAGGAGACACGGGTTCAAGCCCTGGTCCGGGAAGATCCCACATGCCGCGGAGCAACTAAGCCCGTGCGCTGCGCCTGCGCTCTAGAGCCCGCGAGCCACAGCTACTGAAGCCCATGCACCTAGAGCCCGTGCTCCGCAACAAGAGAAGCCACCGCAATGAGAAGCTCATGCACCGCAACGAAAACCCAACGCAGCCAAAAATAAATACATAAATGAATTTCAAAAAATAAATAAATACGCTGAGTTTAAGGAACCAGAAGCAGACATCCCAGAGGCCAGAGAAAGGCCTAAACTATAAATTGGGGAATCAGCTTATGGATGGAAGTGAATGAGGTCATCCAAAGAGAGTATGCAGAGTGAAGAGAGGGCCCGTGATAGAACCTGAATGACACCAGTATTTCAGCGTGTCCTAACCCAATCAAAGATCACCAGGGACAAATCCATAGTCCAGTGAAGTCAGGTTTATTGACCCATTGCTAGGAGGAAGACAACACACCAGAGGAAAAATGAGGTGTCCTACCAAACACAAAGGAATAGAGAGAGTTCTTAAAGGATTTGAGAGAGAGGTGGAATTAGGTGAAATTTAAATGAGGCAATATTTTGATGGCTCAAAGCAAAGCAGAACTGCGTCTGGACTGCTCAGTGGACTCAGGGTCCTGTTTCCTTGGAAACAATAAAGTTAAGGCAGATGTGGAATATATGTTTAGAAATCCCTTACCTGAGTCTCTGCACCTGGATTGTAAATCCTGTCCTTTTAGTGATTTAACTCCTCCAGGCAAGAGTTTCATTCCTACTTATATAATTTCAAACAGCAAAATTTCTGACAGTCTATGATTTTAGAAAACAAAGTTGCTCCGTAGAAAGAAGTAGTCACTCAAAGGAGGGGGTTGTTATGACATTTTATAGTTGCAGTATATCCTTGGGGAAAATATTGTTTCTTATGAATTTTGCAGCTGGCTTTATCTGTGCCCGTTATTCCAGCCTGATGAACACCACAGCAGATTTTTACAATCTGAACTAATTTTTAGGTTTTCAAGGGACACACAATGGAGGTGGAATCTGCAAAGCCTAAGTGTAGTGAGTAGGCAGTGTGGACAAAAAAATGTTGCCCGACAAGTCAGTAAACAAAGAATGCTTCCTGCCATCCAGCCATCAGGCACTGCAGGCACCCCTGAACGGTGCACCCTGAGGGGAATTCTGGATGGAGAAAAACAGGATACTAGCCCTAGATAGTTAAGATGCATACCAAAGGAATAATTTCAATGAGCCCAGACTCTTGCATCTTCCCATGCATAGGCACTAAAACAATTAACTGGAGATGTCTGGTTTCTTGTGTGTGATTAGCAGTAATCTTTGGATGTTCACTACATGTTTTTTTCAGGAAAAACTCCTTGCTCCTCCCTTACGTCTTTGGAACAGTCCTTCAGAGCTATCTGAGAGGCTGCCATCCCCGGCTATAGTCCTCAGTAAGGCTGCGAATAAAACAAAGTTCTCAACTTTTAGGTGGTGTACTTACTTTTCGTCAACAGTAGGAAGAAAACTAAATTGTTAGGTCTCACAAAGCGGGAAGGTGATTGTTGGTATTGAACACTAAGGTCTAGTCTAGTATAGTGTGCTGCTGTCAAATATGGTAGCCATTAGCCATAGGTGGCTATTTAAATGTAATTAAAAGTAATTAATTGAATTTTTAAAATAAACTCAATAAAAGTTTTTCTTCCTCCATGGCACTTAGCCTCATGTCAAATGTCCAGTAGCCACAGACTAGACGCTACCCTATTGGACAATGCAGCTATAGAATATTTCCATTATTATAAACAGTTCTTTTGAACAGCAGTAAGAGAACTCAGAGTCCCAGGCGACTGTGACGCCTGGGAGTGCAGTCTCCTAAGAGTGATGGGGGTGGAAGCCCTGTGGGAGGTGCAGACACGTAGTGTGTAGTATTCTTTCCAAAACTCAGTCCAACAGCGCTACTCTCTCCCTGTGACAGCTACCGTGTAACTCGTGCGTACCTCGAACCCACAGCCCAGGCTCAGAGAGCGACGCTCCACCACTTCATCGCGTTTCCCTGCCTGCACAAACTCACTACCACCCCCACACTCCATCTCCCCACATGGCCCAGGCCCTTCTCCTGCGACTCTGGCTCTTGGACTTCTGGGAAATGCAGTTTTAACAGCGTTCCAACTCGTTAAGTTTCTAGCAGCGAATTGAGGCTCCCAAGAGGCAGTGCATGGGCCTCCATATCTGCCGTGAGGGGCGCCAAAGTCGGCACCCCTACTAAAGTACAGCGGTAACTAAGATGCTGGAGTCCTGGGAGACCGCGCTGTGCCTCTCCCTGCCATTCCTTAGGTCTCCGCCGCTCCGGAGTTGTAGAAACGCCTCAACCCAAGCAGACAGGGCCCCAGGGAACCGTAGTAGCTGGGCGGCCACAACCACTAGGGGACCTGAAGGCAGCGTCCGACAGCGAACAGCCAGAAGGCGGCCCCTTACGCGGAGCGCACGCGCAAATGCTGGGCCTCAGGCTTCCGTAAACACCAAAGAGCGCCTGCGCAAACGGAGCGCCTCGGGATGGACACGAGGGGGCGCCTTAGCAAAGGTAAGAGTAATAAATAGTAACGTAATGGTCCCGTTGTTTTTCTGTTGTCCTTTATCTTATGGTTTGCAAAGCACAGCCCCCTTCATTGCCTCTCTTAATTTGATCCTTCGAGCAGTCATTTCACCAGTGTGGCAACGGGTCAGAGAAAGTCATACAGCCAGAGTCCTATCATCTTAAGAGTGTGGAAGACCACAGATGGTTCAGGATTCAAGGACTCTAGCCCAGGCTCTACCTCTAAGTTGCTGTGTGACCTTGATAGTTCTGTTCCCCTGAGGACCTAAGCTTTCTCATTTGTAAATGGAAATAGGTTATTGGAGGGATTTAATAAGATCCGGAAGTGAAACTAAGTTGCCAAGCAATGTATAAAGGCAAAAGATTATTATAATCGGGTGATTGCAGATGGAGGAGCCATTTCCTCATTATACAGATTGCAAAACTGAGGGCCCCAAGATGGGCAGGAGCTTGCCCCAGGTCTCAGCAGTCTGTGAGCAAGGGCTAACGCCCAGGCTTCCTGCGTTTGGGCTTGGAGCCCTTCCCTGCACCCCGAGGATTAGTGTCTTTGTTGGATACAGGCTTAGAGAGACGGAGTCTGGAGGAGTCCCTATTCCTCATCCTTCTCCTACCCAACCTGGGCCTAGTGGAGAAAGGCCCTGCCCTGTTGAGATGACTACCAAAGGCCAGAAACTAAGGAGAAACTGGAGAATCCTGAAGACAGAGGACAGTGTTGCTGGAGCTGTACAGACCCTGCTTCTCAGGAGAGTGGCCCAGGTAAAGGAAGGAACTCAAGTGTGACAGATGAAGGGGAAATGTGAAGGGGACAGACCCTGAATGGAAAAGAGTGGGCTCTGTTTCTGAGCCTGGGAGGAGTTGGGTGCTCAGGTGATTCCAGTTGGGGCCAGCGACAGCTGGAGGTGGTGCCTGGGCTGGCTTGGATGCTAAGGAGATGAAGTGATGCTGGTTGAGCTGAGAGGCTGTAGGAGCCACTCCTCCAACCAGGTGGAGCAGTCAGGTGGCACCATAGGCACACCTTACCACCCCCCAAGATCAGGCAGCTGCCTGCCAGGGAAATGAACTTTTCTCTGTCCCTTGGAGCTGGGCTGTACCCAGCTGTTTGTCTCTGGTGTGCTCTTAGAAGTTCTGGACATAGGTATAGGAGGGGCTAGGAGACCCTAAGGTCTGGTTGCAGATGGGGCCTCCTCAGGCAAGTCATGAAAGGCAGGTGTTTGTAGAAATAGAAATTCAAGATCCTCCCCACCTCCAAGTATCTAATTCTCTGGGCCTTCACTTATCATCTCTGTTTTCAGCAGGGGAAACCGAGGCTAAAGGAAGAAAGAACTTTTCTTTAGGACACACAAGGAGCTGGCGTAAAATTGGACTAGGACAGGGATCTTTCCATTACATGGCAGTGATCAAACATCTTCATCAAACATTTATTGAGTGTCTAATGTATACGCTGAGAAGAGCTACCTTAGGGTACAAACAGAAGCCAGGAGTGCAGTCAGACCTGGCTTTTAACTAGCCCTCCCAGTGACTTAATGCTGGGATCCTTGGCGAGTCACTACCTCACTCTGAGCCTCACTGTCTGTAGAGTGGGGTGGTAAGCCTTATTCAAGGGCTGTCTTGAGGTATAACTATGAAATAAATGAGTTAAGAACTGTTACATGTATAGAACATCACCAGGCACGTGGTACATGCTCAGTAAACATTAGCTACTCTTTGTTACTCAGGAACACAGGTGGAGGCCAGGTGCAGATAGGGTTCTCCCAGAGCCCAGCAGGGGCAGAGATGTCGCAGCCCCAGGTCCGTCCATCTCCCAGATACCTCCACTCTGTGCCCAGGGAGCCTGCATTTCTGGAAGTCAAAGGGGGCACTCACATCCCCATTTCCCCCTCTGGCACTGGGAACCTGGCAGGGAGCATTTACACCTCTACATGCACGTGATTCATTTCCCCACAACCTGGGTCCAGAGTAAAGGTGATTCTTGCCCAAAGGTCACAGCCCTGGACAGTGAGACCAGAACCACAACCCTTTCTCCCGGCAGGACAGAAGTCCCAAAAGGCTGACAGCAGGGCCTTGACATGTGTGTCCCTTGAACAGAGCAGGAGCCACGGGCAGAGAGGAGCCTGAGTGGGAGACAGGGCCCAACGTCTGATAACCCTGCTGCCAGCCCACCCTGTTTGAAGATGGCAGTCTGGCTCAGTGGTAAATTCAGCTCTGGTCCAGGCCTCCCTAGTGGAGGTCTGGTTCAAACCCCTTATTCATAGAGGAAGAAAGAGAAGCCCGGAGAGGCCAGGAACTCACCAAGAGCCCCACAGTAAGGTGGGAGTGAGTCTGAGCCAGAACTCAGGTGTCCTGATGTTAGGCCAGGGCTCTGCCTGGCAGCTAGTTTGGAGGGGGCAGGGCTTGGCTCCATCTCCTTCCCCATGGCCACCACAGTCCTGCTTGGAGCCAGCCTCAAATGCAGCCACCTGGGTGGGTTGTGGTCAGGGAGTGGCAGGGTGGGGGTGGGTGCATGGATAGGTAAAGGGAGGGGGGAGCACAGGACCTGGTCAGAGAGAAGCCCAGAGCCGAGCTGGGGCAGGTGGACTGGGGAGCTCTCCTTGGTGTGTGTGGCTGCTGTAGGATTCTAGGGCCTTGTTAATCAGTCTGAGGCAGCAGAAGATAAAGCTACCACGGGAGCACACTCCTGGAGGAGGGGAGCAAAGCAGATTCAAGAATGAGTCACAGAGCCCAAGCCCTAAATTTAGAAGGTGCTGAAGGAGGCAGCCGCCCCCAGGAGAGCACTGTGGAGATGCCCGCTAACGCGGGGCACCAGGGCCTCAGGGAAGGGGGTAGAGGTTGGCAGGAGTCCCCTGCACAGCAGTGCCCCATGGAAGCTGGGTTTGTTCTAGGCCTGTTCCAGGTGTGGATTTTGGCCCCAGAATGAACCCCGACTCAAGGCAGAGCCTTCAGCCCCACTCACTGACAGAGCTCCTAGCAAGCCTTCCCCACACCAGCCCTTCACAGGGTCCTAGGAACCAGCCCCTGGAGTGTGGACATCTCAGTACTGTCCTGCCCGCTGGCTGGGCATAGCCAGGCTCCCTGGGTCCTGCTGCTGTCCTAGCATCCAGTTGTCAGACACTGGGGAAGGGGCTGTGTGGATGCAAGGAGCTCATGCCATTGAGCGAAGGCCTTCCAAAGGGAACCCATCCAGGCCTTTGTAGCTGTTTGGAATTGGGGTGAGGGAGAGAGACAAGATGTCATAGCACTCACTTCAGCTTTATTCTCAGCCCTCCAGGCTCCAAGTGAACCCAGACTGTTTCTTTTCTTCCATATCAGAAGAGGGAGGCACTGCCTCCAGGTCAAGGAGCAGACGCTTAGGAAAGAGGCCGTGCCTTGGGGACAGCTGGCAGAGGGGGGTTAAGGGGCCTCAGGAGACAAGAACTGATAGCAGCTGTGGCGTTTATTGAGTGCTCATTGCTTGCTGGGCACCGTGCTGAGCTCTCCATGTGCGTGAACTCACTTCGTCCCCGAGGCAATGGTGTAAGTCCTACTAGCCTACTCATTCTAGAAATGGGAGTACTGAGACACAGAGAGGTTAAGTAACTTGTTCTAGATCACACAGTAAGAGGTTTTAACCCAGACAGCCTGGCTCCATAGCCCAGGCTCTTAACCATTGTGGTAGACTGCTGAGCAGGGTATTTCACCCTGTCTATTCCTCCTCCTCTTCTGTCCTTCCCTCCCCATCCTCCAGTCCCTGTACCCTAGAGTCCTGGGAGCTTCTCTCTGGGCCTTGTGGGGTCTTGCTGCCCAGGGTGCTCCCAGGCTTGGGGGGAAAGAAGAGACTAACACAGCTCCACTGCAACCCCCACCACCATGCAGGACTTCACAATTTACAGAGCCCATCCACCTGCCCCAGGCCGGTGGAGAGGCATCTTGAGCACCACCCCTTTGACAGGAAGACAGACTAGAGAGGTGCAGGGCCTTGCCTAAGGTCGGCAGGGCCCAGGGTGGAACCATGGAGACTCCTCTTTGGGAGGGCCCCAGGCCTAGATGGCCAGCGCCCCCTCTGCAGGCTGGGTCCTTCTGCTGATGATGTCTTTGGGGCACTGCTGCCTGCAGCAGCTCAGTTAGATTGCTGGGTTGATGCAGCCTTTCACAAGCCCTCAAGTTTCCGGTCAGAGGCTCCTGATCCATCTGCCTGACCCCAGGCCCTCCCCTCGGCTATGTGCTCAGGCTGGGTGACAGTGGGGGTGGAGGTGTCTTTGTGTGTCTCTGGGGAGGATGAGGTTTTCTGGCCCTTTTACCAGGGCAAGAACTCCAGCCTCTTTTCTGGAAGCTCTCACAACTTCCTCCTTTCCGTTTCTTCATATTTTTTAATCTCAAAGCTGGGCCCTCAGTGCCCTGACAGGACAGTTTCCACCTCCTGGGACTACAGGGGCCTCTGGGGAGCACTCAGAATCACCTGTTGGATGGGGGAAGGGGCAGAGGGTCCACCCTCCCAAACCCCTAGGCTATTGTTCCTACCTGGGAGAGGCTCGTCTAAGAGGCCAGCTTGAGGAGCTCAGACCTGCCCAGGGATACAGCCCAGCCCAGGTATAACATGACTTCCCTCACACTCCTTCTGCCCCTGCCAGGGGACCACACGTGGGGATACCAAGGATAGGTTCTGTTTCTTGCTGGGCCTTATTGTTCTCGTTTGTCAAATGAGGCTAAGAGTCCCTGTATGACCTTCCACCTAAGATTATTGTGAAGGTTAGACAAAATGAGTGTGGCAGACTCTTATTCTGGCCCAGGGCCTCTTCACAGAGAGGATGTGCAAGGCCGTTTGTGTGTGCGTGTGCACGTATGTGCACGTGTGTGCAACAGCTGTGACCCGGGTGCTGACTGTACCTTCCCAGGGCAGGTGAGGGACTGGTGTAGCTCTCTGAGGCTTTGTGATGTGGGTGTGGCACAGGGCCTCAGGTATAAGGTTGCCAGATTTAGCAAATATTTGCTCCATGCTCATACTAAAAATGATCTTCCTTATCTGAAAATCAAATTTCACAAGGTGTGCTGTGTTTTATCTGGCAACTCTACTTGGGTGACCTGGTGCACCCAAGCCAGTGTACCCATGTTGGGTTCCCACGTATGAGACTGTGATTGTACGTGGCTGTGTGGGTCTGTGACAGGACATCAGTGTGATGGCACATGGCTGTGACAGTGTCACCAGGAGGAGAGGGGATGTGGGTAACTGTGATTGTGTGCCTCTCTGTGACTCCCTCAGGCTCTAGCAGCTCCCTCAGGGCAGTGCTTGGGCTCTTTGCTCAGGGAGGCCCAGCAGGGGTAGGAGACCCACCCTGGGCAAACACTTAGATCCAGGTCCAGTTGGGACTGGGGTGCCGAGCCTTATCGCCACCTGCATCAAACTGTAAAGGACATGTCTGTCTCAAGGCCAAGCCAGCCCTGGGGGCCTCAGGGTGCTCTGCCCTGGGCCCTTCCAGAGGGGCCTCAGGAATCACCTCTCTACTCTGCTCCTTCCTGGTGACATCACACAGGTCATTGCCCAGTCTTCTAGAATGGTGCCCCCAGGATACTGCCTCATTACCCTAGGCAACCTGGGAATTTTCTCCAACCAAACTGGCAGGGCCAGTTACCCTGAGGAGAGGGAGTTGGGGGAGAAGGGTTCAGGGGGGGCCTTCTCCTCATCTCCCAGGGGGAGATCCAGGCAGCCATCTGTCTGACTAGATGATGAGTTGGAGGGAGCACCCCGGAGCAAGTCAAGACCTGGTAGCCCCACTGGACAGGGTGGGGCCCTTGGGCAGAGGATGAATCCTGAAGCAGAGAGAGGGTGGTGACTACCCCAAGGTCACCCCTGGGGTAGTGAAAGTAGTGGTGTATAATGGGAACAGGGACAGAGCCTTGGGTTAGGAGCTGGGAGACCTAGGATCTTATCTCTGCTTTGTCCCTGCTGGCGGGGCCTTTGTTTCTCCATCTGTACAGTTAGGGGCTGTGGCCATATGATATCAGTCTGAGGGTCTTTAGTCCTGACGGGGACTCAGCGAGGGGAGTTGAGGGGAATGTGAGGGACCAGGTCATGGATGGCTCCAGGCAGGTGCCCTGACCCTATTGCAACAGCTGTCAGGGGGCGGTGAGCAAGGACTGGTGTGGATATCTCCAAACGACCGCCAACCCCCATTCCAAGAGTCCTGAGGTACTGGAGGTCCCTAGATGGGTTCTGTCTTACTTTGATTCAGGGGCGTCCCCATGCCTCCCACACCTCAGCTGCTCTCTCTGTGAGGGGCATGTGTAAGACCAGCACTGTCTCAGCACCCTGGGTAATGATTCCTCACATTCTCATGATGCCTCTCAGTTTGCTAAGCACCTTCTCTTTCTCTTACACGCTCCCGCCTTCCACTCCCACTCTGACTCCTGCTTGGTGTTGCCCCATTCTGGGGCTGGGGCCCAGAGAGGCACCTCACCCAATCCACTTTCCGTCAAGGGGCCCTGTGGCTGGTGCCGGGGCTGCAGGGGGCAGAGCAGGGTCATGCTTTGCCAAGCTTTTCCACTGTTTACTCTTTCCTGAGAATCTTAACAACCATCCTATCAAGATGTTACCTTAACACTTTTTTGTTGGAAATATGCCATTTTTGTACCGTGCATTTATTCCTCCCTACCCTTCTCCCTCCGGTTATATTTTTAGTTACTTGGGGGTGAAACTGATATATGTACAACTCTTTTCCTTGCAATAATTCTCAGAGAGTAGGTATTATTATTCTAGATGAAGAAACTGAGGCTCAGAGAAGACATGTCACCTGCTCTTGGTCACACGTTTAGGAAATGGTATAGACAGGATTTGAACCCAGTTCCACAGGCCCTTTGCACTTCCAGGCTGTGGGAAGCAGGGATGGCCAAGTCCTAGGACTCCTCTCCAGACTCTTCCCCCAGGTCACCCATCCCAGCCCTCCTAGCCTTCTCTCTGCTGCTCAGGGGTGTCTGAGACAGGATATGAATCTGCTTTGATCCAGGCATGTTTGGGAGGCTGTCATGAACCCTTGAGCCAGAGATACTTAAATTCCTGGGGTATGGGGGGGCCTGCAAGGGCAAATTAATGATGAATAGGATGAGGAGTGATGCCCCAGCTAGCCTGGCCTAAACCTCCAGGCAGGGTTGAGCCCAGGGCATAGCCATCTGAGCCCAGAGGTACCAGGTCAACCACTTTTACTGCCCCAAGACCCAAAAGATTCATTCTTGGTTAATCTGAGTGTTGGTTTGATTTCTGCCATGTGTACCTCCCTGAGTTTGTGTATCTCAGGCTGGCAGTGCTCTGGGGGGTGGAGAAGTCCTGTCTGTCCTCACTGCTATCTCCTGCTGTCACCCCAGCCTTATCTCTTCTACCCTAGACTGGGTGATGGGCATGAGAGGGGTACTGCCCTGGTGCCTGCTGTCAGCTGAGATGTGTGTCATTGGGGCCCTAAGAAGGCAGGAGCCGCCAGGCCAGTGCTCCTCTCTCTTTTCCTCGTGGCAGATCCCAGAGGCTACAGTTCACAAAGCAGGCTCTGTGTACCCCTCTTTGAATCTCCCATTAGCCTGGGTATGAGGCTGTCAGATAAAACCACTGAAGCCAGGGGAGGGGCAGTGAACTGCCTAGGATTGGGGTGGAGGCAGAGGACATGCATAACAGAGAGCCAGAGCGCTGGCCTCTTGAACCCAGATCCAGCCCCCCTGCCACCCATTTCTACACACTTAAAGAATGTGGGTAAGAAGGGGTGAGGGTGATTATCTGACTATGCCCCTCACACTGGAGATCTAAGGTCATCACACAAGCCTCATGGGGACCTGCAACTCATTTTACAAGATTTACTTTGCAGAATGGACCTTGGGGTCGCTTGCCATCAGGGCTCCCTGCTCACCCCCTCCACTTTAAAAATTGGGCCTGATTCACACACATCTCAGATACCTAAGCACTTCAGGAAGAAACACCTCTATTTGTGAACCCACCGTGACAACTCCTTATCTTTCTCGAGTGCTTTTAAGAAAAGCTGTTCCATCCCAGAGCTCTAGGATGGTGAGGCTAGGAGGTTATACATTCTGATGCTCACATTCTACAGATGGGAAACTAAGGCTCAGAAAGATGATGGGGACAGCCAGAGCAGAGAAAGGAACCCTGGGGTGGGAGGAGGCTGAGATCTGGGTTCTGGGAAGGATGGCCATGTACTCTCCGTGTGTCAGTGGGCAAGTGATGGGCAGTTGTGCCCTATTAGCTGCCCATCCAGGGGAGCTCACCACGGGCCCTAGCTCTCCCTAGCCTTCTGCAGTCAAGGGCCAGTCACTAGGGTCAGTGAATGCTAGCCTTGGGCCCATTGCCACACTCATACTGGCCTCACCTCAGAGAAATTGAACTATTGGCCTCAGTTCACACGGGGCAGCTGCAGGCAGATCTAGCACTAGGACCCAGGGGGGCAGGTAGCAGCCTCCCTGGCTGAAAGGGGTGGCTGGGGTACTGGTGGACCTACCTCCCCTGTGGCTGTGGAGCTCTGGACAGCTCCGCCTGGGGAGGGACAGGGTAGCCCCAGAGCTCTGGGGCCAGATGCTCTTGAGAGCCTAGTCTAATCCATGGGAGGTGTGTGAATACATGCATGGGTGCTCAGGAGGGGTGGTGGTGGACAAGGGCCAGGGTCGGGCTGGAGGAGAGCCTGGTTAAAGCTCCCAGCCGGGAGTGAGATGGGAGTGGCTAGTGGGTGTTGGGGGATGCAAGCTGTGGGCTCTTGATTGTGGTGGGGGGAGTGTGCCCGTCTTTGGGTCTCTGGGTGGTTCCTTGTGTCTAGGTTCTTGCAGAGGTGTGTACCTGTGAGTATGGGAGGGTGTTGGAGAGAAGGGGTTCGCAGATAACTTCCAGAATCCCTCTTCGAGCACCTCCTCGCCCTTATTCTCAGAGCCCACTCTATCTGGGCCCCTCCCCGACCCCTGCCTGAGGACTGGTCGGGCCAGGTACCCTTCGGAGCCGGGTGGGGCGGGCGCTAGGACCCGGCGGGGCGGGGCGGGGCTCCGAGACGCTTCTGCTGTACCTCCGCAGTCAGGAAAATACCAAGCGCCGGCGAGCGGAGCCCCCGGAGCCCCCAGCCTAGCCCGGGGAGAGGGAGGGAGGGAGCGGGGTCGCGCG